TTTTTATTGGTTATTATCAGATTTTAAATATTATTCATAATACTTCCTCCGTTTCTTTTTATTGGTTATGTTTAGAATTTAAACATTATTCATAATACACCCTCCGTCCCAAAATATATGAGACGTTAGACTTTTTTCACTGTTCATGTATTAGTTTTGATCATAATTTTTTACTAACATTATGAAAACATATTTTATCATAAAATATGTTGTTAAATAGGTATATATATATAAAGTTTCAAAATATAATTTTTAAAATAATTTTCATTAATATTTAATTATATACAAATAAAGTCAAAGTAGTGCATTGACATGTGTGCAATGTTGACTGTGTCATGTATTATGAGATAGATAGAGTATTAAATAATCTTTAAATTTACTCACAAAAGTAAAAGAGTCATGTGAGATCATGTTTGATTCATCTCAACGAATGCTCTATTAATATTCAATCGTTATAATTTTAAAAAGTATGTAATGAATAATAATCAAATAGATGTATTGACAAACGTGTAAAAGTCAAAACGTATCCAATAAAAGGGACAAAGGGAGTATTATAATTTAGATATAGGGTAATTTTGTGAAAATTTAAGAAAATTTTACCAACAACTACCATTATAATGACCACTTTAAGAACAATAACTACCATTTATTTATTTATTTATTTTGTAAAAAAAAATCTAAAAAAACTACCACAAAAACCTTGAGTAACACAATTACATTTAATTTTTTGGCAATAATCTCCAATTGAGGGGGCTAAAAATCGGCCATTTCGACGACAAGGGAAGGGAGGAGGGGCAGTTTCATCGACCTGAGAAGGGAGGGGCTATTTCAGGGATGGGGGAAGGGGGGTGGTTTCGATGGTGTAGGTGGGTTGCCCGAGTGGTTTTAGGGGTAGGGAGGGGTCGACCGGCTGTTATCGGTTGTTAGGGGAGGCGGGAAGTCGAATTTCGGTCGAGCTGGGGGTTATTTCGACGACGAGAGAAGGGAGGAGGGGCGGTTTCATCGACCTGAGAAGGGAGGGGCTATTTCGGGGATGGGGGAAGGGGGGTGGTTTCGTTGGTGTAGGTGGGTCGCCCGAGTGGTTTTAGGGGTAGGGAGGGGTCAACCGGCTGTTATCGGTTGTTTGGGGAGGTGGGCAGTCGAATTTCGGTCGAGCTGGGGGTTAGGGCTAAGGGGAGAAAGAATGGTGGCTGGGAAGGGTTTTTAATTATTATTTTTCTTGTTTTACAAAAAATAATTGGACCAATTATGTTGCGACACATCACACATGGCTTTTACAAAATGATATTCACCCTTTCTTTAAGTTACTGGTAAATCGACCTAGTGGAAGAAAATCAACCCAAAAGTTCATAGTGCTCCCTAATAAATGTAAGTTGGGATTATTGAGAGTAAACTGCTGAAAGTTCGGATTAATAAATTAAAGTGAATTTTTCTAAAAAATAAAACTTAGATTTTGGAAGCATCCAATATAATAAATCGAAAAGCGAAGACAAATCGAATTCAGGGTTAATTGGAGGATGGAATGGAGTCGTTTGACTCTTGGAATTGCGCTTTTTAATCTCTTTAGTTTTAATAAAAATGTGTTCTTTAATGGAAGTGGTGTTACTTATGTTTTTCGGGAGATGTAGAAAAATTTCAATTTCAGATTTACATAAACCCTTGTTGAAGGAGGATGGTAGTAGGTGTTGTTAAACCCATTTGTATGTGATAACGGTAAAAGTCATTACAACATCATGACCTTGTATGAGAATATATACTCCCTGCGTCCCTATAGTTTTTGTTTTACTATTTTAGAGACCCAAAATTTTGTTCCTGTTTCTATTTTTGAATAGTATGTAAAGACTATTATACCCTTATTTTTTGACTTTATTCATTGAACTTCCTAATTTACCTTTACCATATCCACTTGCATTGTACTTTTTCACTTTCTCTCTCTAACTTTTGTCTGTAATTGTAGTTTTCACTTTTTTCCCCTTAAATTATCCACTTACCTTGTACTTTTGTCTAGCTTTTTTCCATTTCTCCTTCCATTTCTTAAGTACCGTGAAAAAACACAAGAGGAACTATATTATGGGACAGAGGGAGTATACAATATGGTTTTGTCAGATCGCTAGAAATGTGATTGACATGTATGAAGCATAGATCTCAAGAAAATTTTATCCATTTGAATTATTGGGGTCCCTTAGGGTAAGACATACTGATTTTGAGTTGTCTCCGTCATTTCAGCAACATTCATAGACTTTTAGTTGTATGTTAGAACATACCTTGCACAACACGAAACATCATCACCAACATCCCTTGTTCTATCAATAGTACCTTCGCATGTTTAAATGTATATTGGTAAGCCTTATATGCGTTGTCCTCACTCGTTATAATAGCTTAAAGGTAAATATCGTTAATGACCTTAATTGGTATTGTGTAAAGGCTTCTTATGCCAATAATAACTTATGTTTTATTGTCCTTTCGTTTGTTGTAAACTCAGTTTAATTAATGTAATTTCAACTGTTTTTTTTTTAAAAAAAATAATCTAAAAAACTTACAAAGAATTGATACAAGCTTTGGTGTATGGAAATATTAAAAACTAGGTTAGGTCTCGTGCCATGCACGACAATTTTAAAAAATTAATATCAACTTTTCAATATAATTGGTTATTTTACAACAAACAAAAAATCTAAAAACACTATGGACAATCTTTGATTAAAATATGAAAGATAAGTTGATATATCTAATAAGTATAAATTGAATAATTTGATATTCTTAAATACAAAGCAATAAAATCGTCTATTAAGTAATTGAAATATTGATGTGTAGATATTGTATTCAAATATATAATTATATACAGTATCAACATGTTTTGGATGAAGGCAATAAATAATATTGTAATGTTGATCTTCATGAGATTTTTGTGTGTGTTTATATTAATATTATGAAGTACAGTCTAACTAATTTTTATATATTAAGGTAGTAAATAGTAATGTTTCTATAAATAAAATAAAATAATTTAATACAGTAACTCATTTTCACTTAGAGAAGAGAAAGAGCGGGATAATTATCATTCAAGGGCTAGTAAAAGTATATTCACTACTCTATCGTGAATTCTAATCAATAAATAAACAACTTTAGGGGAAAAAAAATATAAATACTCTCGTTTAGTAAATCATTATATGTCGCAAATCATATTAATATTTTCTATTATAGTCATAAATGTTTGTGTGAAAAGATAAATCAAATCTTTTATATTTAAACTAGATGAAAGCCTGTGCGATGCACGGTTTTTTCATCTAAGATTTTTAATTATTTGATTTATTGTATTTAATAATTTCAGACAAAATTACAAAAGTTTAATATTTTTTTTTTATTATAGTTTATAATGAATTTATTAAATATAAATAAATTGTAAATGTGATATTTTTTCCATTATATAAAATCTTTAATGTGAAATGAATTTTTTTAAATAATTTAAATCCTAAATGATTATTCATTGTTTTACCATATCTTTTATTTTGATACAATCACCAACCTTGTCCACAATCAACCTACTACATCAATGGATAAATTGAACCGTGAAATGTTAGCCAAACTGAAATTGATATAAATTAAATCTTTTCATTTATATAAAATAAATCAATATATTTACCACGAAATGAAAAATTGATGCGATATAAAATCAAATCTATGCATTAGAATTTTTTCATCATCTTCAAAAATAACCAAAGCCATCCATATATTAAGTATACAACATCTAATCGTATGCCATTACATAAACAAATAATCGTTAAGTATCCTAAATAAATACAATGTAACTAATAATTACAAATATAAATTTAAACATAAGATTTTAAAAATTATCCGGATATTGATGACCCAAAACTAACACAATATTACTAACACAAAATTCGCTTGATGGGGTTTTGTATTGATACGAAATTTTATTTGTGTCGTAAGATGTGTTAGATCTGCATGTAAAAAAACATTTAGTAAATAAAACATAAATATATAATCGTTGAGTATCTCAAATTAATACAATGTAAGTAATAATTAGAAATACTAATTTAAACATAAGATTTTAAAAATTAAGCTAAAAATTACCTGGCCATTGATGACCAAAAATTAACACAAAATTAGTAAATTACTAACACAAAATTTGCTTGATGGAGTTTTATATTGATATGAAATTTTGTTTGTGCCGTATGATGTGTCAATTTATAATGGTAGGTATCACAAATTTTAATTTAATTATAATTAACGAACAATTTGTATTTCTTATCATAAATACTATCAAAATATATCTTATAATGATAGGTATCAAACTTTATTATAAGCGTTTATCATTTAAATATTTCTTAGTATATTTTTTTTTTGGATTTCTTATACTCGTAGTATTGAATTAATAAATTTATCTTTTCCTATATTTTTACTCTATTTTTTTCCATTAAAATAATTTAATTCGTGGATTATAATCTACGTGACATTAAAATTTTAGATATATCAAATCTAATTCGTTAATTTATCTAGGTGGCGACATAATTTTTTAATTCAAAAATAAAATACAAATCTTTCTTCTTATTGGTCGAAATAAGTATATTTCTTACGTGACGCTCTGAATGCTCTCCAAAAATGCCTACTTTATTTATATAATTAGATTAGATTAATTATCTTTGTTATTAACATATATAATAAATTATTTTCGTATAAGATTTTATTCTATGATTGATTTTTTTTTCAAAAATAAAATAAAATTAAGGACACACCAAGAAATGACACGTGTCATTGCTGGTGTGTCTTTTAGTATGTTATATATTATTATTATTATATTGATATTTAAAACATGTTTACTTCAAACCTTTGTAAAGCCCACCTGTCTCATAATTAGATTATCATGTAAAGATCCGCCCATTTATCTATCAGACCCATATTATAACTATGGCGGGTCATGGCTTTTAAAGGCCTCCATTCCTATTTCCTACCTCTCTGAGTTATTTCATTGAAGCGCACTCAACGTTCTCCATTGAAGCGTTCTCCGTTGAATCTAATTCTTGTTTCCCCCATTGAAGCAGCTTCTAAGGTAAGTTGTTTGTTGTTGTTATCATCACATCAATTTCACAATCTAGGGTTTATATTTGATCTAATCTAATTTAATTATCAGTGCTTTAAGTTTAGGGTTCGTAATTCTTAGATTATGAAACATCATATCCAAAAGAAAAGAAAATTATGAGCGTAATTTGATTATTGAATAAATATCCCTAAAATTATGTATTTTTCGAGATAATTCAGTATGAAATTAAATCTCTTTTCCCTGGGCCTAGGGCGGCCGTCCCTCCTGCCCTGCCTCAGGGACGGGCCTGGTTTCTTGGGGTTAAATTTAGGTTAAGGGGATATTTATAGTGATGTGCAACTGTATAGAATTTGTGGTATCTAATTTGTTTATCAATCCCTTGAGAATTGCGATCTGGAAAAAAGCGATTGGTCTGAGCTAAGCTAATGCAATAAACACTAGGATGTGAACCTGTGAATTGCTTTCTCGCATACAATATTAAACAGTGAATGAACACTAGACTGCTTTGTGTTAAGGGTGGCTGATAGTTGGAAGAGTCTCTATGTGAGGTGGTATTAGTCTGAGAATGGAAAGAAAAGCAGCAAGGCCGTTCTATATCCTTTGTATATGTGGATATCATAGAAAATATGTGCCTTCTTGCGTGTACATGTTACTAAAAGTTACCCAATGTTGTTTATATAGTTTTTTTTGTTAATATTGTATTTGTTTTTTCTTAAATGTCATTTCTCATATCTTAAAACGAGTAAAAGTGTAAAGTTTCTTATTTTATGGGTTATTATTGATGCAGATCCTCAGTGCAGTGGTTTAACCCTCTGATACTTAGCCTCTAATGCCCTGGAGATTCTGTGGTTTATTGCATCAGTTTTGAGTTTTTTGTTACTGTGTGTTGACAGAAAGGGTGTTGCAATATGATGGGCACATTATCAATATTACCACTTCCAGCTCCACCAGAAGATGGGGATCTTGGCCCAACCCCACTTGCTCAGTTGCCTCCTGACGATGAGATGAAAGAAGCAGAAGATCAAAACAAAGCTAGCAAAGCGAGTTCAGTGGCAACGCATACAAGAACCATTGGAATTATCCACCCCCCACCGGATATTAGAAACATTGTTGATAAGACATCTCAATTCGTGGCAAAGAATGGGCCCGAGTTTGAGAAGAGGATTATTGCCAGTAATGCAGGGAATGTGAAATTTAATTTTCTTAATGCTTCGGATCCTTACCATGCTTATTATCAACACCGGTTGTCGGAGTTCAGAGCACAAAATCAATCTTCAGGTCAACTACCGCTTTCTCAGCCTGGTGATTCGATGGCCTCGGAGGCTGAGTCTGGTGTCCTTGCCGATGGTGTGGCTGCTGCAGATGAGAAGCCTGATCCTTCTGCACAATTCAGACCTGTTCGTAAGGTACTTGAGCCTCCAGAAGCTGAACAATATACTGTAAGGCTGCCAGAGGGGATTACAGGGGAGGAATTGGATATTATTAAGCTTACTGCACAATTTGTTGCTCGAAATGGAAAATCCTTTTTGACAGGTCTTACTAGTCGAGAGATGAACAACCCCCAATTCCATTTTTTGAAGCCTACACATAGCATGTTTATGTTTTTCACTGCCCTTGCTGATGCCTATTCTAAGGTTCTGATGCCTCCAAAAGGCTTGACTGAAAAGCTAAGGAAGAGTATTGCTGACCGGACAACAGTCCTTGAGCGGTGTTTGCATAGGCTTGAATGGGAAAAGTCGCAGGAGCAAGCTAGGCAGAAAGCTGAAGATGAAATTGAGCAAGAAAGAATTCAAATGGCTATGATTGATTGGCATGATTTTGTTGTGGTTGAATCAATTGACTTTGCAGATGATGAAGATGAGGCACTGCCTATGCCAATGACTCTTGAAGAAGTTATAAGGAGAAGCAAGGTTTCAACGAAGGATGGGGATGAAGAGGAAATTGTTGAGCCAGGAAAGGAGGTAGCGATGGAAATGGATGAGGAAGAGATGCAGCTTCTTCAAGAGGGTATGACAGGTGCTACCCTTGAGGAAAATGGTGAGGAAAAGAAGGATGAGGTTAAGGCTGATATGGATGAAGATGATCCTCCAATGAGAATTGTGAAGAACTGGAAGCGACCTGAAGAGAGAATAGCTGCTGAAAGAGACCCAACAAAGTATGTGGTTTCTCCAATTACCGGTGAACTGATTACCATAAGTGAGATGTCAGAACATATGAGGATTTCTCTAATTGATCCAAAATACAAGGAGCAAAAGGAGAGGATGTTTGCCAAGATTCGAGAGACAACCCTTGCTCATGATGATGAAATTTCCAGAAACATTGTGGGACTTGCTCGTACTCGTCCAGATATATTTGGTACTACAGAAGAAGAAGTATCTAATGCCGTCAAAGCTGAGATAGAGAAGAAAAAGGATGAGCAGCCTAAGCAAGTCATATGGGATGGTCATACAGGGAGCATTGGTCGCACTGCAAATCAGGCCATGTCGCAGAGTATGGGTGGTGAGGATCAAAGTGAGATCAATTACAATGATGGGAGGTCTCTCCCTGGTCCAGCTGCCCCTCCTCCACCGAGACTCGGTGTTCCTATGCTTCGTCCACTTCCTCCCCCAGCTAATCTATCTGTGAACATGCCACGTGTACCAACCAGCAATATTCAGTATTCTACTCCAACCTCTGGTGGGCTTATGGCACCACCCCCACCTCGTCCTATGTACACCTTAAGCCAAATGGGTCCTCCTCCGCCACCTCCTATGCAAATGCCTCCTGGACAGCAGCATATGATGATGAATCGCCCACCAATGCCTCCAGCTGGGTCCATGAACCAACCTGGCATGCCAGTGCCTCCTGCACCTGGATCTCAATTTACACCGCTTGGTGTTCACCGGCCCTTTACACCTGTTCCACAACATGGTATGCCTGCTCCACCAATGCCTCAAGGAATGCCGCCTCCACCCCCACCACCAGAGGAAGCTCCTCCTCCACTTCCTGAGGAACCAGAGCCCAAGAGACAGAAGTTGGATGACTCTGCATTGATTCCGGAAGAGCAGTTCCTTGCTCAACATCCGGTATGCTTTCTTTTTCCCTGCCAAATTCTGTTTTTGCTTGAAATTTTCCTGTCTGTCTGTCAGTCTGTCAAATGCTTTGTCACAAAATCTGCAAACTTACTACTGTCTAAAGTTCTTTCTGTCATATTACTATGCTTTCTTAGTAGCTACTTCTCTTATTTTAGTGAGGCTCTACGGCATGTATTTTTATAGCATATTTCTTTAGTTGGTAATACTGACCTGTGATGTCTTGTTTTACAAGGCGTGAATGTTGAAAGGACAGCTAAATATTTAAGCTGTGTGAACAAGACTCATAAGCATTATTGTAGTTATATACTAGTTATATGAACTATTTTATATTCTATATCTAAACTTTAATAGCATATATATAGAGATACTGAAGTCAGCTAAGTGTTGTTCTTCTAATTTAAGTAAAATAAAAGTGCTCTTTTGTTAAAAATCATTAATTTCGGTTTCCACCACATTCCAAAACCTTTTCTGGTCATAATCAAGGGAAGGGTTGCTAAAATTGTTCCCTTTTTTTTTTTTTTTTTTTTTTTTTTTTTTTTTTTTAACTCTGTGAGTGTGTGTGTGTGCGTGTTTTAGAGGTAATTTTCCTACATCTTTGTTTAATACATAGGTGATACATGATGACATCAACAATTACAAATGGTATTCCAGTGTCATTGTGAAACTCTTAAGCCCAGTGTGATAATGTGAAACTCCTTGAGCTGCTTTATGATTTGGATGGATTTGTGTATTGCTGGGTATTCAATTGTGGCGTATTCTAGGCTTCTGCCAGCTAGTATTCTGACACATAATAAGAACTGTAAAAGAGGGAATACTTTTAGTCTCAAGCATAATGGCGGTGAATGTGTCATTGCTGGTATGTCCACTGTAGGATATAGGCAGTGAGTAGGCCTGCCAGTGTCTGGGTCGCTACAAGTGTAGATATGTGTATAATGTGCTTTGTTCTTTTTGTTCTGGGTTAGGTATTGATTATTATATACTTCATTCTTTATAATTGCAACACTTAGACTTTCATGCTTTGACAACTCACAATTGAACCATTAATATCTTTACTTTAATTAGTAAATTTTTTAATAAGTTGATATTTGAAATCATGCATTGAAACAAATCCAGTGACATTCTACACTTGACATTTGGTTTTGTATATTTGAGTAATCTTGTCAAAGTGGGGTATTTTATTTTTTAAAATTACAAGTGTTGCAATTTTAAAACAATGTAAACCTGATTACTGCTCATAACTTCATTTTGATGTACCTTTTTCCTTTCCATCATCACCTTTAGATGTATGCAATCTAGACCCAATTATTGCAGGATGTCTTTGTTCTGGGCAGACATAATCAAGCTGCCACCTTCGTTAATTAAGAAGCAGAGCATAGTCTGAGCTAAATCCTTAACCCTACCTGAATTACATGAGATGGAGCTAATAGTTGCTTTTGAATGTTTTTTCTCTTCAGGGACCTGTCAGGATCAACATATCTGTTCCCAATGTTGATGAAGGGAATCTCAAGGGACAAGTTTTGGAAATCGTCATGTCCCTCAATGAAACCGTTGGTAGTCTGAAAGAAAAAGTATCTGGGGAAATTCAACTTCCAGCAAACAAACAGAAATTGAGTGGGAAGGCCGGTTTTCTCAAGGATAATCTCAAACTTGCTTATTACAATATTGGAGATGGAGAGACCTTGACTCTTTCTTTGAGGGAGCGTGGTGGCAGGAAGAGATGAACAAATTACCTAGAGAACCCAACGAAAGGCCCTTGTTGGAGTACTTCCTAAGAATTTTTCTATATAATCCTGTTCGGTCCATGAATATTTCTTTTGAGATGATATCTTGAATTTTTTGTGCCCATGTATCTTAAGTTCAGCCTTGCAACTTCTTTATTGTTGTTACTAATCTGATTCTATTTGCCTTTGCAGCTCATCACTTCTGCTCACAAGTAGTCATGTCATGATTCTGATACTAACTTTTCTTCGAGTATAGTTGACCTCAGTAACCGTAATTTGTTGTTTTAGTCTGTAATTGGATATCTAATTATTTTATCTTAGTAGTGCTGATATTCTGGGCAAGGCTCCTTCTATTATGTTGGCAGATCTCCCAGGTACCTTTCGTGGTGCGTGTTATACTGCTGCGCGGCTTCTTGTCAAGTGAATATTGCTTTTTCTGGGACTCTCGACTAACAATTAAAGTGCTTTAGGTCATTTTTTCATTCATGTTAAATGAACAAGAAAACTTATACTCCGTAGAAACCTATAAAGCTTGCTTGATTAGACGACTGAATGAAATGTAGTGGAGTGATTGATGCTTTTCCGTTTACCTTTGAACAGTGAAGCTACCTTTCTCAAAAGGGTTTGCAGAGTGGCATCTGAAGTCCTTCGCGCTCTTGTTATGATACCAGATGCAGGTAGGAGAGGGGGTTTTGTCACATTTTGTTTAACCATAAGTAGAATTAAGTCGTTTAGCAAGCCCTGAAATTTGGCTTTCTTTTGCAGTATGGGCTGGTTTACTGACTGCTCTTCTTGGAATGTGAAGGTTGATCTGAGATTGATCCGAATCCTCTAGTTTTTTTAATCTTATTCTAGTTGTTTGATAATATTACAAATTAAAGGTTGGTCCTGGAAAAATTGAATAAAAATAAACGAAAAACAGGACTTGTCTTCCCCTTGATTTTCTGCTATACATGTAATTTTGTTTAGCAAATATTCTCTTGTTTTCTTGCTTTATTCAAATGTCTGCTAATCAATTCTTCTCTATCATTCTCGTATGTTGAGAAATGAACAACTGTAAATTAACTATGTTGATGTCAGACTGTTTTTTCCGGTGAAGCATCTGTGATGGTGTTCTTGAGCAATTTATGTGTAATTTGTGATTCTCCCTCCAAAGAGACTATACAAAAGGACTTAACTAGTTTAGGACTGAATCAAATAGTCATGAATATTTTCTTCGCCTTTTATGGGTGCTTTCTTTAGAGAATTCGATTTTCTTTCGTAAATTTCACTAGCAAAGAGTTAATCAAGCTTGTCTCCGTACACACGAGTCCCTTCTTATTTCAATGGCCGGCCAAATGACTACCATTGTTCCACCCACTGTTTCAAACCTTATACGGAAACCATTTCCTTCACTGCATTTGAAGCACCTAAGAATAGAAGTTGGTGTCAGCAATGTAAGTATTTGTCCTTACTACTGTGAAATGAGAGCACGGCCTGCCTTTGCCCGTTCAAGAGGAATTGATTCTAAGTCCAAGCATCACATGCCAGCTGACGTGGTCACCTATGATGGCTAAGAAATCATGTTATACTTTGTGAATGTTTCACAAAAAAAAGAACGACTTCGTATATATGTAACGGAATGACGCAAGTCACGCAACCATTATTGTTGGCGAGTACTTCTTGTTGTGTGAAGGGAAGATTAAAGGTTTGTGTAATGGAATTTCCAACAAAAGGTTAAGAAATACTATTGACAATTAATAGTCTAACAGAGGGAATATATATGTATACATAGTATACTAAGGCAAGTATGTAGATAAGTAAATTGTTAGCTGTTTTTGTACCTTTTGTCTAACCCTTTAAAATCTTTTTGCAGAAAAAGCAATGGAAAAACTCCCGGCCTCAAAGAAAACTGCCGCCTATTACCGCTCCCTCCTGGGCAAGCGGTCTGCTGAAGAGTCGCCTGCCAAGCAGGCGCCCAAGGTGAATTTCTTTTACTTTGAAAAAGTCTCATTTAACTTTTCTGTCGCCTGCTCCTTACTTATTGTTGTTTTGTTGCAGGGCGACTCAGCAAAGCCTTCTTCCTCCTCACAGCCGGATCCTAAAATTAGGAAATAGGGGGGGCTGGGGATGTGACAACTCCTGGGAGAGCCAGGAAACATGTGGCCAATAGGAAGAACCCTTCCTCCAAGCGGGGGAAGATCTACAGCCGTCCCGGAGAGCAGCTAGTCTCCGAAGGAGTAAGAGGAGGCAAAAGGTATCAGTTGTTCAAATCCCTTGCCCTACCCTTGTAGGGTTAAGTTTAATCAACAGCCAGCCAGCACTTCCGAAAGCAGTCGGTCTATTGGCCGCATTTATACCAAGTACCTACAGGGTATTGATTGTGCAGATGCCCCCTCAAAGGCCGGATCTTCAATAGCTGGCCAAGTCCATGCTGAGAGCCATCTCCCTTAAGGACAAGGAGGCGGTTAGAGGAGTCGGCACCCTAAATTTGGACGCCATCCTCGCTCTTGTTTATATACTCGTGGTTAGAGGTATACTTGTAAAGATTTTTTATTTCTTGTTTATATAACTTGTGAGCCGCCTGTAACTGACGTCTGTTTTTTGGCCGAATGCAGTCTATGTTGAGAGTGCACGGTCTCCGCAAGCCCATAAACGAGAAGACCAAAGAGGTAAAGTCTGCGATAGCTCGGGCTGTCTCTGTCACAGAGCTATGTTCCAGATTGCTCAAAATGAACTTTTGACTACTGACATGCATACTATATTATCAGGCGGGTCAAAACGGATTTAGAGGCGGCCAAGAAGAGGATCTCGGAGCTGGAGGCGTTCGTGAAAGACCTCAAGGTTGAGCTCGAGCCCCTCAAGGAGGCGGACAAGGAAGCAGCTGGCCTCCGTACTAGGGTGGAAAAACTCAAACTCCGCTTGCAGAACCAGGAGGCCCAACTTGCCCAGAAGTATAATTCAAGGGTCGATGAAGAAAAGCAGACCCTAGTCAAGGATATGATGGACGACTGTAGCGCCATCATGAAGATGACTTAGGGGGAACTCTTCCCAGAGACCAGCTATGAGAGCTTGGAGAATCAGTTTGCCGCCTCCTCTAAAGAGTACAATGAACGAATCATAAACCAGGCCCAAAAGGGTGAGGAAGAGGATGATGAGGAGTCGTCTGATTCAACTTTAGGGGAGTCCGACCAAGAAGAGGAGGAGGAGGCGGATGCCGAAAAAAGCAGCAGCCGACTAGGGAACAAAAGGATGCGGCTGCTGATGCTGAACAACCCCCTCTCGCTGCTTAAGCCTTTCTTATTTTATCTCTAACTTTTTTCGGCCTACGTGCCGTATGCTCTGCTTGTATCTTTACCGACCGAGGGGTTGGGTTTATTGACAATTTTTAAACTCATTTTTGTCGGTCATTTGGCCGACTGTTTATATGAATCATCCGGCAATTTTGGCCGGTTTCTCCAAATTGCTTTTGACTTTTGCATTTCATAAATTTTGCTAAGTATATGTAACCTGCTTTTTTCATGAATGCTTAATCTAACAACTGTTCTTGCCCCTGGGCGACTAGGCGCCTGATTTTCAAAGGTGAATTGATTGGCTTGGGAATTTTTGATACTTTAAGGAGTATGACTAATTTCCAAGTCAATCAATCACTATGGTGATTGCCCAAACCAGACGGTCAGTCGGCCATTGCGCAGGCGACTATACAGCATTATCCGGCTCTCGGCCTCATTATAGTTCTTTAGGTGAACCACGCTCATTTACTAAGTTTGTACTAAGCTTATTTTATTGGTTGTAAATTGGCCATTTGTATGGTGCCTGTACATAAGCAGGCGTCAAACGGGATGTCTAACCGAAGTAGCAATCGCCTGTTGGATTACAGGCGATAGCTTTAATATTTTTGCAAACCTTAGCAAGAACAGTGGTCGAATACCGTCTGTTTGCCAAAAAACATACGGTTTTGTTTGCACCGTTTAGGTTCCATTCTAGGTTTGGTTGAGTGACTATGAGTTAACCTTTGGGGTTAGTCAATTTTTATCACTTTGATTTGAGTGAATAGAAGAAGCAGACGGCTTTAGCCGCATGTTATTTATTTATTTGCTAAGCTTTAGCCGCCAAGTTTTGAACTCAACTTTTATCCTTAAATTTTGCCGCCTGTATTGCCCCTGAGCAATAGCAGGCGGTATCTTAGACTTTAACTGTCTACCGCTTGTTCAAATCAGGCGGCACGTTTATCTTTGTCTCATATGATCATTTCAAACGACTGCGAGGTTGTTTTTATTGTAGACATTCGGTAGGGCCGTTTGTTTTAGGTTTATAGAGCAATGTGCCACCCAAACGGGAGATGCTCTCTGCGACGAATTCATCCAAATGGATGTCGTCGGACGCCTTCTCATGTTGGAGCAGATGTATTGTTTAATTTATTAGGATCATCCGGCCTTGGGCCTCAAGCTGATCATCCGGCCATGGGCCTCAAGCTGATCATCCGGCCATAGGCCTCAATTTGATCATCCGGCCATACGCCTCAAGTTGATCATCCGGCCATAGGCCTCATTATGTAGTTCAAAAAGGAACAACACATAGCTGCTAAGTTGTTTAGACTTAGCTTATTTACTCATGTTGGAGTAGATGGTTAAAAGAAATAAGGTCGTCTGTGCATTGCACAGGCGGCTTCCCCCACTGGGAGGATATGTACAAGTAAACAAAGAATACTGAAAAATAAATTGCAAATTTTATTGATATGCTTTCATGTACAAATAACTTTTGCAAGTCTTAGAAGTAGTACTTTTTCAAGTTGTCTACGTTCCAAGTTTTGGCTAGCTGGCTGCCGTCTGGTGTTTCTAGGCGGTAGGTGCCGCCTTCAACTTCTTCATAGATCCGGTAGAGGCTATCCCAATTAGGAGTCAACTTTCCCTGCTCGTTGGCCCTGCCGATTGCTTCCATTTTTCGTAACACAAAGTCCCCTACTTTCAGGGGCCGCTTGTGCACTCTTTTATTGTAAGCTCTTGTCATTCGCAGACGGCAGATCTCATGACGCAAGGCCGCATTAGCCCTGCGTTCTGGAAGTGAGTCCAATGCTAGCCACATGGCCTCCCAATTAGCCTCTTCGTCATAAAGCATGACTTAAAGAGTCGGCTCATAGTGCTCAACGGGCAAGACAACTTCAGCACCATAAGTCATGAGAAATGGGGTTTCACCAGTCACCCCTTTTTCAGTCGTTCTGATGGCCCAA